CGCTACATTAACAGACGGCTGGGGGCTGGCGCTGGGCTGTGCTCAGCGGACGGATGAGATGCGGAGAACGAAGCACGGGACAGGGGCAGGGCCTGGCCTCGTTTCTTCCGTTAATCACTCTCAGAAAGGCAAGCTCCCGCAGCCGCTCCTGGGTTAAGATGGCAGCTCTGCTCCAGGGAGCTGCGGCACCAGGCAGCGCAGCCGCCCCAGAAGGGACGTTATTTTTGGCAGCTATCACAACCAGGTTTTGCTCAAAACTAAGCTGGCAGAAGCAGCTTAGTGCAGCTGTGCAATCCATGATCCCACCTGCTTTCTGCTACTGCTTCTCACCTTCTGGGACCCCGAGAGCCAAGGAAGCAGACTCTCAGCCACAGCCTCTGCGGCGGGGGTCGGGGGGAAGGAGGGAGGGGGCTGGCTCCGCAGATTAACAGGAAACCACACGCTTGAAGAGCTCTTTGCAGGCGGCCTTAGAACCAGGTTCTTAACATTTGCATCGACTAATCTCTGCCCAAGCTGCTGCACCCGCAGGTCCAATGGGCAGGGACAATACCTTGTGACACCCACACTGGGACACTCCTCATTTTTATCTGCCTCTGAGCACACAGGAAGAAGTTCTCCTTCAGGTCAGTACAGAAATGCCACCTGGACTGGGATGTTTCACTTGGCTGTGGAGCTTCAGTGTCCGCCTCAGCCGAAGCGGAGGCTCGTCTCCGGCGCCGTTTGCAAGGGAAGGTGGTGAGGTTTGCTTCCCATCGCTCCCATGCTCACCACTTGAAGAAGACCAGCCCAGCCAGAGCCGCGTAGCCCAGAACCAGGAAGAGAACCTTCAAGAGACGGTCGTTCTTGTCTTCCAACTCCTTCGCGAGGACCTCAAAGAAGGTGATGAACAAGAAAGTGCCCCCTGCGATTCCTTGCAGGAGCAGGGAAGTAATGTTGCTGGCCGTGTTTTGGGTGCTCTCAATCCCCATCCCAATGCTAATGCCCAGAGGAATCATCAGGCTCACCGTCACAGCCATCTTCACGGCATCCTTCAGTGGCAACGAGGTTTTGGCCATGCTGATGCCCAACGCCACCGCTACCAGCGTCTCGTGAATGGCAACTCCCAGGAACAAGCTCATGACTTTGCCGCCCTCCTCCTGCAAGCCGAGGGCCAGTCCCTCGAAGATGGAGTGCGTACACAAAGCAAACACCAGCCCGATGAGCCGTAAGGGGCTGGAGCGGGAGAGCTCCTGGATATTCAGGCCGTGGCTGTGGGAGTGGTGACCGTGTTCACTGTACAACGGGCGCCCTCGGGAAGAAGCAATGAAGGGACTCTCATATTCCGAGTCACTCCCGACATCTGAACCGGCATTGAAGGTCTCCAAGTCAATGAAGGAGGGCTTTTCCTTCTGGAAGGTCAAGATGAGCTGCTCCACAAAGACCGTCACAAAGAAGCCGACCATCATGATGGTCTCGGCCACCGGGTAGTCCGTGGTCACATTCCTCTGCCTGAGAACTTCATCGAGCTGGAATGAAGCAAACAATCCACACCTTCAATCAATCAACCACCTTTGTCCCTCTAAAAGGAAACATTCCCAAAGTTAAAATTGCTAAACTGATCTACGATGCTTTAACACCCTTGTATACAGGCCTTGATGTCAGATACAGGACCCTGTTTGCCTCCCAGTGGAAGGTCGGTGGCTGTCTGAAAGTTTCAGACACATGCCGAGTGGCAGGAGTTTTGAGCCTCACACCCCAGGCAACGCTCAGCCTCCTCCTGCATCAAAACCCCCTCCAGTTGCTCCATGCAGACAGTCAGCAGTAGCCGAATGGGAGGCGGGCACAGCTCGCCCTCGTGAGCTGAAGCACCAGGCACAGCACAGCCATCTGAGGTGGCTTCCTGGGCCACTCTGGCAAGACACAGACCCTTCCCCCCCACTTCCCGAGGGGCAGGGGGCCTGGGCTCCTGCAGGGCACACGAGTGGAGGGTGCTCCCTAATCTACTCCATGGCACAAGTTCGTTAACGCTGCCCGAGAAGCTCGTGAGCAGTTACCTTTCCTCTCACGGCAGGCAGCAAGGCATTGAAGCAAGTGGCCAGGAAGACGCCTCCTCCAAAAGAATTGCAGAGGGCAAGGACCTTCTTAGAGCGATGAGCTTTCTCATAATCAGCCTCAATTATCTTGACAGGCAGGAGGGACCCAGCCAGCATGAGGACACAGATGCCCAGCAGACACAGCACTTTGATGGCCACAATCTTCATCGTGCTTCCTGGTGGAGGCTCCCCGCCACGGGCCCTGAGGCTGGTGGCTCTTGGGGGTCCCTCCAGCTGTGGTTAGAGTGGGTACATCAGCAGGGGACGGCACAGACAGACCTCCAGCGAAGCGTTCTCCTGGGCTCTGTGCCTGTGGGCGGGAGTAAAACAAGAGAGGCTTTCCCACATCAGCACTCACTGTGTGGCACAGCACCTCGCATCCCAAACCACGCCAGCCTCTGTACAGCAACCACCTCAGCTCCCAGAGGCAACGGGCAGAGATGACAGCGGCAGCACCTCACACACAGCCAGCAGAGAAAAATTCAACTGCAGCAAACAGTAACTTAAAAACCTTGCGAGAATTGTACTGGCCACACAGGACTGGCACAGCCTCAGTTTTTGGAGGTTTCACTTGAAACACCTACGCCGTGACAGACACAGAATGTTCAATCCTGCAATAAGATCCACCCGAGTCCAACCAAAGGATCAAGCCTTTGGTTTTTAACCACGAGAAAACAACACGGACTTGAGCTGTTGGTATCTGTCACCCAGAAATGAACTGAAAGATCTCCCTTCGGCATTCACACGGGTTTTTTGAAACGAGACTATCAGATTCCTTCCTGCGCGGCTCCCTGAGCCACTGTCACACCTCGCTGGGGGGGCTGCAGCCTCTACCATTGGTTGGTTGCTCTGTCCCAGGAGCCAGCGGAAGTTTCAACGACCGATCAATAGGCACATCTCTAAAGGAAACCCTACAGAGAAATCACTGCAAGGTTCTCTACTGTCCACAGGGTGTAACAGAAGAGGAGGCGAGGTTGTTTCATACAAGAGAAAACTGAGAGATTTGAGTGGCCTAGGTCATGAAAATCGACTTAATTTGAAATGTTTCCATCCAGGTTACATGCAGTGGGAGTGAAACTTGTTTTCCTAAAATAATTTTACAAAATAACAGTGTTAAATCTATTTATAAAAACACAAACGTGAACAGATCCCTCTACCGCTGCGCCTTGCAGCAGCACAGCCGGCACCTCGGAGGATTTCACTCACCGCTTGCACCGAGCTGACTTGTGGGTCACCTCAGCAGCACTTCGAGCAGGTTCCCTCGCAGGTCACCCAGGTTTGGGCTGCCAGATGGCCCCAAGCACTGACGGGACGCTGCAGCGCGCATCGGGGTACAGAACTAACACAGAACGCTTCCAGTCACGCTGACACCCACACCTGTGATGGACAAGGTAAATAATTGGATACCTGTTTGCTGGAGCGGCAAATTAAGCTTAATACAAAAGTTTCCTGAGGCTAAAGTCTCCCTCGAGGCTGACAGTATTAATCACTGTCACCACTTCTGTGCAGCAGGCTGCATAAATGGCGCTTTTATTAAAAGGGAAGTGGGAGACTGAATGACTCTCTACTTTTTCAGAGTCTGCAGTTCCAGCAGAAGCGAGCAGAGAGGTCATGGCAGTCAGGACATCTGCGGCAGGTCTGCTTCTCAGCCGGGCGTCCACGGGAAGCGACGTTCGTCAGCAGAAAACCCTACTCAGATGACACTGATTAACTCACTCCCTGGCGAACCCCGCAGACGAGCCAGGTATGAACAAGCCCAGAGCCTGAATCTCGGTGTACGTTGACAGGGCGTCCGCAGCAGGCAGCCTGTCACCGCGGCTGATGAGCAGGCTCCCTCTCCAGAGACGGTCGACTCCAGGACTGCCAAGGCTCGTCAGCGCCGTGCTGACACAGCTAACGAGTCACCCTGCCTTTGTAAAGCACGCGCTGCGGTTTCAGCATCAACAGAACGACAAGGGTTTCGCCTCACACGGTGACAGCATGTTGTCATGCCAAGCTTTTCAAATGAACTCACTCCCGAAACGACATTAGCAACAATGCCTTGGGATCGCAGCTCACGAGAGCTCGCGACTGCACCAGCCGGGTGCGACGGCACCGCCCTCACCTGCTGCGTCAGGCGGCCAGACAGCTCCCAGGGCAGAGGAGCGGAAGAAAAACCTCCTTTTCCAGAATTCACACCCCTCTAGAGCACGCCTGGCTTCCACTCAGAAATTCAGAACACACCCAACTTGATCCTTTTTTCCTTCTCTTTTTAACCCAGTAACAGCCCCACTAAAGCGCAAAGCCTCCAGCTCCTGACAGCAGGGGAGCGGCCGCCCTCCAGTGCCCCCTGACCCGAGGCGGAAGGCGCTGAGTGAAAAATGAAGCAGCAAGTGCAGAAATACCTTGTACTTCTCCTCCCCTGCTCTTTCCCACAGCCCAGCGTTCAGGAGCCAGCACCGCCGATGCCTGGATTATTTCAGCAGCCTGAAAGCTTCTGTAATAAAGAATTAAGGCAGGTACTGCTTGGCTTAGAGGCTGTTAAACAGAGCGGACAGCCCCCTGTGGAAGGAAAAAAAAAGGTTTCCTTATGCACAATCCTTTAAATCTCAGTTTTTCTGTCAAAAGCACACTCATGATGCCCCAAACACCCCGTGATGCTGACGCCAGGCTGGATTCCCCCCGAGCTGTGCTGGCCCCGGCACCTCCAACACCTGAGCCCGCTTGGAATCACCCGGCCACCCGGGAGAAGGGGGTGCTGGGCGGGGGGGACCCTCCTAGGCTTAAACCTGCTTCAGAGTCCCAAAAGGGTGCAGAGATAGGGGGGCTACAGGGGTCTCTGGGAGAGGGGGGC